AGGAGCATGTGCTCTTACCAGCTGAGCCATCCTGCCATGTGTTGGCAGCTCAGCTCAGGCGCAGCTTGGACGAAGCTCACTGGCCCATGTGGGAATCGAACCAGTGACCATGTTGCTCAGAGCTTGTGCTCTTAAGCAAACTCTTAACCAACTGAGCCACTCGGCTGGCCCTCATTTTTGTTTTTTAATTAAAGTTTATTGGGGTGACAATTGTTAGTAAAGTTACATAGGTTTCAGGTGTACAATTCTGTAATACAAAAACTCATAGACATAGACAATGTTTAGCGGTTACCAGAGGGTAATCATCACCTTAAGTTTCAGGTGGTGATTTTTGCCCTCAGGCTTAACAAAACTGAGGGGTATTGTTAGAAAAGCTGCTGAACTCAAAGAGCTGGGTAGGAGAGGAAAGAATGATCAGAATTGCTTGAGACTCATGTGGTGGTATCCTTCTCCCCCATCCACATGGACCAAATAAGCACATCTGATAATAAGTGGGAATTAATATCTTCACTTCCATCAGCTCTAGATGTTTTGTTTTTTTTTTCTAATAGCTCTCCAGGCTGCGTGGTTTGAGCCCTGAGAACGAGTGCTCCACAGGCTTCCCTCTCTGCCCTACTGCAACGGCGAGGCTTTCTGCAATTCAGAAAGAATCCCTACTACACAGCAGCAGCTATAAGAAAATATCAAGTCTGGAGAGACCCACTTCCGGGCATCATTTGCGATGCTGGAGATGAAGGTGGTATAGGAGTTGGATTAAAGCTCACACAAGGAAGCAGAGCTCCTTTTTATCAGAGCCCAGCCTAGGTGAGAAGAGGCTGAAAAAAGCGTTTCAAGGATAAAGGACAGCAGCTGAGGGATCATCCTTGGGTGGCGCAAGAGGAGTTAAGTCATTGCAAAACATGAAGGGGCTGCGACATAATCAGAGACTTTAGGAGCGCAGGAGAGACTTGGCAGAAGTGCTCTGTGAAATCCAATGAATCAAGAAGAGAAGTGAAAGGGTTGTGAAGAAATAGGGGAAGCATAGCTTAGGGCAGGTATCTTGAGAGTATAATAGACTCCATTCGAAATTGATGACTCTTTCGAGCAACTCAACAGTCTGGAAGTAGAAGTAGAGGGCTTGTTCAGTGGAGGGTCATCTTTAGCTGTGGAAATTAGAAAACTCGGCAGCAGCTTCAGTGGGAGATTTCAGAGTGGCAGTGAGTTCTCTGTAGATATGGGTAAGCAGATGAGGGTTTGCGGAACAGGAGGCCACAAAAGGTTGAGGGTGCTCTTATTTAAGAACAAAGGGCAGCTTGCACATGCCTTGTGTGTGAGAGATGGAAGGTCAGAGGGTTGTGGTCACAAAGGGCATGTTTCACAGGTAAAGATCTTAAGCAGGTGGAGAGCTTGGTGCAGTTGCTAATGAGGATGAAATCTAGAGCGTGTCTGCACTGGAGAATAGATAATGTAGGATGATGTGAAGGTTACTAGACTAAATTGGGGCAAAGGACTTGTGATTAAGTGGTGACTTTGAATGTAAGAGGATGCTGGGAATGAGTAGAAAGAAAGACCATGAGGCAAGTACTGCTCAGGTGGGGATATCTACTAAGGGGATTCTGCATTAAGGAACTGAAATGGGTAATGAGTAACAGAGTACCAGAATAAAGAATCACAGCACAGAGAACCAGCCAGTGAAGGAGAGTGATGCCCCAGAAGTGGTCACGGGGTAGGAGAACGATTGCCATTTTTCCTCTTGGCCTTGTTGTTGAGGATGTGGTCCTCACTGAAGGGATTGTGAGGGATGCCATGTTACTTAGAAGATCCAGCTGCAGTTCATATGAACAGGTAAAGAAATGGGGAAGGAGAATGATTTGAGGCATAGGAAACTTTGTCTGTAATAGGATTAAAGTTCCAAAAAGATCTGTGTGTTTTGGAAAATAGTCCTGGACCTTGGCTGCACAATAGAATTATCCAGGAAGTGCTAAAAATAAACAAACAAACAAACAAACACCAATATCCAGACCAATTAGATCAGAGTCTTTGTGTTGGGATCTTGGAGCAAATCCTTTTTAAAGCTCCACAGCTGATTCCTATGTATGTGGGACAGAGAACTACTGATTTAGAAAGAGCATGAAGTAGGGTGGGCCTGAAGAAGGAGGGGGTATTTGGAAGGGGTGATACAAAAGGTAGTATTTATGGATAACATAGAGAGAAGTTGGGGCCTGGGAGAGAGACTGGTAGAGGTCATTAGCAGGAAGGGTGCCAAAAAGGCAAAATGGAGGTAATGAAGGACCTTTCTGAGTTTATGGGCCCCAAGGATCCAATTCAAGCACGGGTGTGAGGCAGTGTTGGCCACACTGAACTAATTGTCTCTTTGGTAAGTGGGATAGACCGCTCACCTATAACTAGGATTTTGGCATTTCTGCATTATTAAAAGGCCACGAGGTGCAAGAAAGCCTTATCCATTATTCATGTTGGTTTCAGGCTAAGTGCTGGGTCCCCAGATGCTGAGAATTTGTAAATGTCTATTTGGAAAGCGTTGACCACAATACAAACTGCTCTTGGATTGTTTTCACTGCTTAAACCTGTAAAACAGGTTTTCTTGGTGTTGACCACTAATTAAAATAATCAAAATTATTTTATGAAACATTACTTTTTTTTTTTTGCATGGAATTTTGTGTGTCTGTTGAAAGAGCCAGAATCCCTGAGTATAAGAACTATTCGTGTGAGTAGAAAATATGTGTATCAAGCATTTCAAATATGATGTAGGTCTACTATGGTATGCTCTTTGCAATAACTTTTCTTGGAATTGTGACAAAGATTTGCCTTAATCAGACCTCTCTACAAATACAGTTTCCCCTAAGAAGAATTTAAGCCAGGGATGATTTCTATCCTGACAGTGCCTTAGAAGTATCACATTTGCAAAGAATATAAGAGAAATAACCTTAGGCTTTACACTGGAGCTGTGTGTTCACATCATTTATTCAACATCAGAAACTCTTACAGGCTCAGCCATCAAAAATATATCCAGCAACTGACTCTGTCTTATCCCATCCATGGACCCAACCTGTAACACTCAGTTTTCATGACCCAGAAATATTTATTCTCTGGATGGAAACTCCAGAAGGAAATACCTGGGTGTTCAGGAATATTGCTTCCTTTGGCTTCCTGGACACATTTTTCTTCCACTTCTCTTCTCTCTTCCCTGGGTTCTCATCCTTCTAAAGCTCCTTTGTTGGCTGCCCTTCCTCCTCCCTTGCAAGGACAGCCTCCCCCGCCCATCCCCCAACACACACACTCTTGGTCCCTGTGTTCTAGAGGTTGGCTCTTCGAGAAACCCACGTTAGGACTGGAGAAACCAGACTGCAGCGAGATGCCTGGGCATGAAGCTTGCACTCTCCACTCGATAGCTGTGTGACCTAGAGCAACTTACTTAGCCTTCCTGGGCCTTGCGTTGTATATACATCAGTAAAATGGGGATAATGGTATCTTACAGGGTAGTTGTGAAGAGTACATGTGTTAATAAAAAATATTTACAATCTTGCCTGGCACATAGCAAGTTCTCAGTGATGTTTATTATTATTATTTTCACTCTCTACTTTCCCTTGGTATTCTCTCTGATGGCCATAGGTGACAGCTATAAATATTATAGAGTTGAGTTGGTTGCTGAGTCTCTATCTCACGATCTGCAATCTGTTCAGAGAGCCATGCCCATATTTCTAATTGTGCCTTGGGCATCTTTGTTCTTATGTCTGTTCATATCTCTACCTTGATATTCCCAAAGCAAAAGCCCCATACTCACACCCCAAAGCTACCTGCCCCCTGCATGTGCTACTGGTACTCAGGCAGACTCGATCTCGTGCTTAGCCCATTCAGTGTTAGACCCCAGGTCCTGCTTAAATAGAACCTTGCACACCTATTATTCTCTTCTTCTTATGCCTCTGTCACCACCCCTGCTCTAACATGCTTTTGTTTGTAACTTGACTCTCTATTTCTACTGACAACAAACTGTTTCTAACATATATTTCCAACCATGTCTTTCTTCTGTTTAAATCTCTCCAGTGACTCTCCATTAACTCAAGAAACTGAATCTCAGCTCTTCTTTCTGGCAGTCAAGGTCCAAAACACTCCTATCTATCATTCTAAGCTTACTGGAAATAATATGCCTGTATAGAGTCTGTATTTACTGTTCCCTCTGTGTTTCCTCATGCTGTTCCCATCACCTAGAAATCTTGTATTTTTTTTTTTCCCATTGTTGCTGGTCAAGCTGTATCTCCCATTAGAGCCAATATCAAATGTTGGCTTCTTTTCAGTTTTCCTTAAATTAATATGATGCCTCCCTGTCCTGAATGTCCGTAGAACATTGCATTCATCTGTAGCATTCATCACACCCTGACTCATCTCTTAGGCCTTGGCATGCTTCTTGTATTCCTCCTGCTAGGTTATAACTTCTTCAAAGGCACTTACTATATCTTTTAAAGCTTCAAATGGGATGCAATGAATGGCAATAATAGCACCAGGAATTAAGCTCATTTATTCTGCAAAGCAGCAGCCTGTTGTCAAATGCTAACTCTCTTCCTCGCAGTCCTCATATAAAGAATGGGGAAGCGTATAAATGCAGTAGCACACAAGAGGAACATACAGTGTGAGCAATTACGCCAATTCCTTTTATAGGGAGAACACAGCTGAGATAAAACATGGAAGCAGATTATTTACCATCCATAGGTCTCGTTGCCAAATTCTCCCATTTCTAAATTTTTCATTAAAGGAAGTCAAGGAAGGTAAACAAAAGTCGCTCTTGAGAGGAATCAGCATAACGGAAACAGTTCATTTATCAGCCTGGCCTCAGAGAAATGTCTAATTTTTTTTTTAATAGCGTCTTTGGGGGCCACACGTTTGCGTGCCTCCACTCGGGCACACGCACACATACACAGCTTCTCTACATGTGCGCAGTCACACCAAACCTTGGCTTTGGTGTGAGGGGGAAAAGGGCGGGTCAGGCAGGAGCCAGGAGCGCTTACCTTCAGGGAGTCTTGGGTGTCATCCAGACAGTAGACTCGGATGCTGTACTCCAGAGACGAGCAGCAGAGCGGCCCGAAGATGGCCAGCTTCAGGCGCTTGGCGGCCGCTTTGGTGGTGGACTGCCCTACCAGGGCGTAGGTGCTGAGGTTCTCTGTGAGGAGGTGGCAGGCTTCTGCGTCCAGCTGAATGTAGCAGGGGGTCGTGAAGTTTTCCTCTCCCACCACCACCACGTCCTGGGGCACAAGAGGGAAGGAACCGTGGCTGAGCCCCTGAGGGTCCTGCTGACCTTCGTCACTGTGGCCAGTGGTGGTGGAGAGAGCAGGATCTCTTCTAAATTTCATTAGTTTTTTTTCTTGCTTTTTTTGCTTTCTCAGGCTTTATTATATTTCTCTTTCCATTCTTTATCATTATCTCCTGTACTTCTCTGGCCTTTATACTGCTAATATTCTTTATTTAGATGCCCTTTATTTAGCATGTTTTCATCTTCCAAGAATCTACATTACTGGAATCTACATAAAATTCCTAAAGAAATTGATGAATTATCCTTTTTACTTCAGTGCACCTGAATTTATTATCTATTTCTGAGACTTTAATGTTTTAATTTCTAAAGTTATTATCAAATACAAAAGTATGTACTATTTTATGTCAATGTTGTTATAACATAGTAGTTGTTTTTCCCTAAAAATCTAGGGGTTTGAAAGAATGAGAGAAATTAAGGAATTATAGAATACCGCTCTACTATGTTCTTCCAAACTCACCTGCCAATTACTTTCCAAAGCAATACCCTACTTTCCCTCAATAATCTGGCTGCTGGACTCTATGGAAAGCACAATATGGCCAAGTCCATGCCTTTAAGACACTTTTCTCTGTTATTTTTCATGGAAGCCTTTAAACAGTCTATCCTTTGAGATTTTGAAAAATATTCGCAAGAAATAAAAATAAGTGGAAGTGATGAATTCTATAAAAACAGTTATTAACTCAACCAGGTTTGATTTATCCAGATGACTGAGGCCACAGAAGAAAGACCAAGAGTAGAATCTATAAACCAGGCATCACAATTCCACACGCCTCCCAGGACTGCCAGGTAGTAGGAAGGTGTGAAACAGGAAAGGCAGAAGACGATCCAAGTGGGACAAGCCGCCGAGAAGCAGAGCTCAGGCTGGGCTTAAGGGCCCAGTCTCCACTCAGATCGGCCCATGAGGGCTGTGCAGGAATGGAGGCCCTGTGAGCACACAACCTTTCATTTATTAAGAGAAGCTGGAAGTTCAGATATTTATGCTTAATCTTCCAACTCTTAATTCAAATTTAAAAGAAAATTTCACACAGGAGAGAGAAAATACATGTGTGAGCACGACTCGGCCCCTGCATTAGGCTACTTAATCTGCACAGAGCAGGAACTGTATGTATTTTGCTTCCCACATTATCTCAGTGGGCCTGGTTCATGGTGAACAAATGGTTATTTGTCCAAAACATGAATGGCTGTTTCATCATACATTGAGTCCCTGGGGTTGGACAAAGACATGAGAGAAGTAGTCCCCTCAGGTGTCTGTTGATTAGTTAGGCCTTGCAACATCCTCTGAGCCCTAGTCAGAGCCTGTGTTTTCATAGCGTCGTTTCTTCAACTGAACCTGTACCCTAAGATGAAGCTCAAACCGAACCAGAAAAGAAGAATAGAAGCTCAGCACCTCCAGGTTTATTCCAGCCCCAAAAGGACACTTGGAAAAGAGCTGCTTTCTGTAGCGGAGTGAGCATAAGCTAGGCATCATGGAATGAATGGTGACACATTAGAGAAAGTCTCCTAGAAGACATGGTCAAGAACAAAGATGCCCCAGGTCCTTGTCACAAGTGTAAATAAGAGTGCTTTCATAAGCATTGTTCCCGCTCTCTCTGCCCCTCTCATCTCTTTCTTTTCTTTTAGTATTATTATTGACATTATTACTCAAATTGTTAGGCAGAGAATTGTGCAAGCAATTTAAGCTCACTTGAGACTAAGACTTTATTATTTAAAGTTGCATGGAACTGAAGTTAGACTTTGTTAGGTCTTGTCTTAATGGAACATAAAGTATATATATATATATATANTATATATATATATATATATATATATATATATATATATATATATATATATATATATATATATATATATATATATACATATATATTCCTAGACTTCAATCCTAAACTTTAAGTCCTCCAGTAAGGAGTGATCCTCTTATGAGGCGAAGAGGAGAACATGTCCATAGAAAGGAATAGAAACATGTTCATAGAAAACGAATTAACCCCAGGGATGCCCTGCTGCTTTTATAACTCATACTATTTTTTTTTCTAAAGTATTAGCGGCTTGAATTTTTGTGTATATTTTTTCTAAAAATTTCTTTCCTAAAAGAAAAACACCATAACTTATCACAAAATATATAATGTACAGATTGGATACGTTGCTTTGTAGTGATGACACAGAATATAGGGGTAGCTTTTAAAATTATTCGATATTTTTTGATAAACATATTCCTGAAATATGCTTTCCTGAGACTAATCTAAAATGTAAGTTTTTACTTGATATTTTCCAGTAAAAAAATAGATACTGTTAACTCAAGGATAATAATAACCATATACAGCTTTAAAAAGGTAGTAGGTATACAATCTTTGTGGTAAATATAAGAAGTTATGATGGCAACAGCCACTGAGAGCCAGGACGCCATAGGTGTTCTTCATCCTAGTGCTGCTTAGAAGATATACCCTTTCTGTTTTACTAGATTAAGTTCAGAAGAACCAGAGTCCCACTACTTGAGCAAGTAAGTGCCTCACATTTTCTGACTCAAGTGCAATGTTTCTCTAGCTGCAAATTTAATATATGTATATATATGATATATAATATATACATATATTGCAATATATACTATGTAATAATGTATATATTATACATAAATATATATATAATAAATATAAATATAAATATATATATATATATATTTTTTTTTCCTTCCCAAGATATAGTATGTATTTTCCAAAAGAGACTTGTATAAAATTCCTAAGTGCATTTTCCCTGTGAGCTAGCTCATGCTTGATCACCATTTTCTTTGGGTCTATTAGTCAGTAGATAAAGCATTCGGTAAACAGTCTGTCTGTCTGTCTGTCTGTCTGTCTGTCTCTTCCCCTTCCTGCCTTCTGCTCTTTTTCTCCCCTCTGTCCCTTTCTCTTTCATTTTGAGTGTAAGCTGAAATTCCATCCATGTTTTGCTTTAAAAATGTTTTGCTTCCCATGATTGCTCCTGTTTATCTGCATGGATTGCTCCTGTGTTCATCTTTATCCCACAGAAGCTCACCTCCCACTGCCCCTGAGCTGCCTGGTTTTTGAGCTGTATCTTCCAGTCTTCGGTATTGGGATCTGCGCAGTGATGCATAGTAAGGATGACGGGGCGGGTCAACAGGGCTCCTGGAGGCCCACAGCTCACCACAGGGGTCAAGAGTGTCTGAGTGTCTTCCATGGGTGGCCTAGGATGAGAGCAGAGAACAGCAACAGTGACATTTCCACAGTGTTTATGTGCTATGTATTCTTCGAGAATTTAAATCTAAAATTGAATGAATAGTTTCTTCTTGGAGTTTACTTTGGCGATTGGTAGTGACACAGCACTAAATGGAAAGGCATGTTCTTTATACTAAGACTTTGATCTTGCAAGACTGAAGGTCTTTATGATAACAGTGGATGTGCCTGCATCTCTTTGGTCCCCTTCCCTCAGCCACAGGTCTGCTTTTGGTGACTTCCTCTGAGTCCATAAACACTTTCAGGGTGGACTGACAAGGTACAGAGTCTTTATAAGTTACAGAACCATGTTTTCTGATAATACTTGTCATTGGTCTCACAGGATTTTAAATACTTTTGTATTTTTTAGGACCTAACTTGAAAAATATTTTTTAAAACATCATTTCAGAATAAGGACACCATAGAGCTAAACTTCATTCAATTGATTTTCAGGGATAACTCAGGCTAGTATGGCAGATTCATTCCTTCAAATATTATCAGACAGAATATAGAACTGTATTTCTATAGCATTTTAAAATGAAATCTCTCTACTTGTATACTTCATACTCTGAGAGTCAGGGTGTAAAGAACCTTAAAGGTTCAAAGTCTTTATTTCACATGTTTTATTTTAATTCTCTTAAACACTTTCCCTAATAAGACTGTAATCAACAAGCAAATGGATGAATGAACCTAAGCTATCAGTTGGTATGTGAGGGAGTAGTCCCAAGGTGTTGAGTGAATTGCCCAGTCTCACAACTAACAGTGCTAGTGCTAGAACTGAACCCAATGCTTTCTTAACAACAGTACTAAAAACTACTCTGCTAGGTACAGTGGCTTAAGAAACCAGAGACTTATAGAATTTTAGAGGAGGAAGGGCCCTCAGGTCAACAAGCATCACTTTCCATCTAAAGCAGAAATCTCTTTACAATATGCTGACATGTGGTGGGTGTTTTAGACACACCTAAAATTGTAGTCCCCTACTACTGAGGGTCACCTCATCTATGACCAACTCTAATTTACAATGCATTTTTACTTAGAATGAATACACTCTGCCTTCCTGACACTTCTCTTCACATATCCTTGATCTGCTTTCTCTCTACTTTGGCATGAAAGCCTTTCAAATACTTTAAGATTGTTATGGTGTCTAAAAAGTCTTCTGTAGTTCAGATCAAATATCCTCTCAAGTCCCCAATTTTTTTTTTTAGACTTTAGCTAGAAAAGCATGGTTTTCATATCTCTCCTTATATTTCTATCTTCATTTTCATATAGATGTCTGTCTGTTTCAATGTCTCCACTAAAGTGGGGCATCTTGAAATGAATGTAATACTCAAACAGACAGTATAGAGGGACTACTATTGCTTTGATTTGGAATATGGGATTTGATCAATGCTCTCAAAATTGTTGCCTTAGGTTATTCTCAATCATTTGATTATTTATCAATATTATTTAGCAGGTTTGAGTTAGATGGGAAGATGGAGACAATACGATTAAGTATCTCCTTTATAAAATGAGGTAACGAAGCCCCAAGAAGGTTGAGCAACTTATTAAAGCTAACAACTCTATGTATTCCTAACATGAAAGGTTCTTAGGCTAAGTCTTTATAGTTCTGTGGTTGCAATGATGGCTTTTGAACCTATATACAGAAATTTATATTTAGCTACTTAGTTTCACCTTAATAGTTTCAGGGAAAATTTCAGGTCATCTATTTCTTAATGTTACATCTTTCCTCCAAATATTGGCTATCTCTTCCAGTCTTCTATCCTCCATAAATCTGATATGCCTGCCATTTATGTTCTCATTTCAATCACTGATAACATTGTAATAGAAGAACAGGATAAAGACAGAGACCTTTTCAAGGACACCACTTGAAACCTCTCTCCAGTCTGACATCAATACTTTGAGTTATTTAGTTCAGTCTAATATAAATCCATTAAAATATACATTGTCCATTTTATTCACATGGATATTACAAGGGATATATCAAATTCCTTTATAATTACAACGGTCACTTGAAATGGATTTTCATGTAGTCAATCTATGGTTTATGTATTAAATACTACATAATATAGAAGTTAGCTTATATCTATGGCCTCATTTAACACTCAATGAGTAAAGGCACTTGTTACTTTTTTTTCTTCTTAATGTTGTTGAAAGACAATTCTCCACGGATCTCTCATGTTTTTGCATGTTCCCGACTATCTTTTCAAGGTGATTGTAGAGCAATTGCCTTGGAAGATGGAGATAGTGCTTACCTTGGGAATAAACGGCAGGCATGTCTACTTCCCATTATAAAAGACTCCGGTTACCTAAGCTCAGGGGTCCTTTCCTGGAGTGCAAACACTGAGTGTGTAGGTATCATCTGACCCTTTTTGCATCACTCGTTTAGAACTGGGGTTCAGGAAACTGGCACAGAAATGATTCTCTGGATAGTACTATTGCTATGAGTAATAAACTGTCCTTTGTCTCTGACCAGGAGTCTGTGTCATATATCAGCATTCTCAAATCTGTGGTAGCTCACAAGTAAATCTTAGAGATTCCTCAGTTCTTGACAAATATCATCATCAGTTCTGAGAACTCAATTAAAATTTGGCATCTTTTCCCCTTAATAAAACTTGGCTATCATTCCTTCTTTTCTCGTTCTAAAATTTTCTATACTAGGATCTCAGCAACATGTGGCTTTTCTTTCCTTCTATTTAGAAAAATCAAAACAATTTTTTGTCTCTTTTTAGTCTTTTAATATTGTTTCCATTCTATTTAATAACAGCACGGTTTTATTACATCTAAAGTTACTGAAGTACTTGGAAATGTATTTCTATATGAAATCTTAAGTTCACTGGCAGCTTGAGAACTCATTACTATCCCCTTTGCCCCTCATTTTCATTTCCTCTTAATCCAGTTTCCCCTGCTTCCTTCCTTCTAGTATGAAATCCATTCTCTTAGAACATGAGTGAAGTTTTGCTTTCATTGTATCATAGTTAATACTACACTACCTGCCCTGAGCTTTTTGAATTCTACTTTTCCTACCTGGGCAAAAAAAAAAAAAAAAAAAAAAAAAAAAAAAAAAAAAAAAAAAAATGAATGCATTTTCCTGAGCACTACTACTCTTACCTTTTAGTTACAAGTATACCTTGAGAAGTAAGCATTAAACTTTTAAGGAAGGAGACTAAAGTGGAATCCATTTCAAGTGGTCCTTGCAATACAGTTGGGGATTGGAAACATCTGTCTCTCAGTCTGCTGTTAGCAGCCTGTGCTTGAGGCGGAAGGAGGAGGGGTTCCTCTCATCACTGAGTTGGAACAGAAGGAAGAAGACTCCCTGCTGGGCTGGGGAGCTGTCAGACCTATGCTCTCCAAGCACACCCCTGCCATGCAATATTGATGGGCGCCATTCTTGGAGGAGGGACAGCAAGAGAAGGAAGGAGCAGTAGGTGTCAAAAGAATTTATTAACCCAGTGAGGTGCAAGAACATAATGAACAGGGAAGTAGTGAAGTGGAATTCATAACAGGGGATGAAAAACAAGGAAGAAGTAATGATAAGAATCTTTTTGTGTTTTAGAGATGAAAGAAGTAGTGTGGAAACTGAAAACATTTCCAAGCATTTATGGAAGGAGTGACTTTGGGACGGGAAAGATTTAACTATGTGACACCAAAGGTCAGAGTGTTTAAATTCACATTTTCTTGATTTGCACAAAGGGAGGATATTAAAATATGTAAAATAAAAGTAGTAGAAAACAAATATAAATAAATCTGATTCATGTTTTTATAGAGAAGGGTTTGACTGCTTAATGTGTCATGTGTTGTCTAAGCTATTTAAGCAAACATTGTGTAAATATTAATTGCAGATGATATGGAAATGAACCCAAAGCAAAAATTACCTGCAGAAACAGCAATTAAGTAGAAATTTAGTAACGAATAACAATTAAAAATTTAAATTTTCAAAGTCCAACAACAATAATATCACGGTAAGTGCTGGATGGGTTCTGAGGCCTCTAGAACAAAGCTCTCAGAAAGAGGTTTTTATTTCCTGTCAGAGAGATTTTTCTCATCCCTTGCTTGCTATTATCAATGAGGAGAACTTCTACACAGAAGTGCATAATTTACAAAACTTTCACAAAAGCAATTGCATTTGCTGCTCACGGCACTCCTGTAAGGTTGTTACGATAAGTATTTATGTTACCTCTTTTCCAGAAGAAAAAACTGGAATCTGGAGATATTAACACATTTGCCTAAGGCTATACAGCTAGTCACAGGCAAAGCTAGAATTCAAACACAATCTTTTTGTTTCATTCACATAATGGTATATTTTGGGTTGCTTATTTGGGTCTGGGGCCTTGAAAAATTTTGTCTATTTGCTAGAGCAGGCTCAAAACTGCTTCTTGAAAAGAAGCTATCTCTATCCACCTCTGTGTGGAGATGAGATGCCTTCTATTAACACGCATATCTTTTGTCACAACCTTCAGGGTGACAATCCCACCCTAGGCTCAGCTGCTTTCTAAAGCACACGGTTTCACATATAGCTGGCAACTTGAAATATTTGCACTTTAGGTATCTGACAGAGAATAGCTAACTCACTAGCTACCAAAAGCTTAATTAAGCTACACACACACACACACACACACACACACACACACACACACACACACACACAGAAACTGCTTTGTAGGGCCAGGCCAAAATGTATCCTTGGATTAAGGCAGAACAGTTAAGTATAGTGACCTGGACTGTAGTACTAAATCCTTGTGGAATTATTTTACTGAATTTAGGACCTTATACTATCTACTTACATTGAGGGACACTAAAAGAACAGCCCTATGAAACTCATTGCTGTTTTTATTTTAAGAACATTGTTCATTGTATTAACAAAATGTCTTCTTTATGCAGAACCACAGGAAAAATCATTAAGCTTCTTCTGGGCATATTTTTTCCTTATGAACTCTGGATCTTGTAACTTACCATGTTTTTCTCTTGAAAACTTTGAAATACTAAATTCGTTATCTATTACCAGGAAATATGCTGGAAATTACACCAAATATTTTATATTCTAATTGCTTGCCAGACTTTATCTTATCTTTTCTAATTTTATTTTTCCCATTTTTTTTGTCCACATCTTTAAATTTTTGTCCTCCATTGAAAAGACTGTGTTTCCATAAATCACCTTGAATCATGTCTTTATGCGTATGATTTCAATAAATACACACTGTGGGGAACAGTGAGAGAATAAGATTTAAATATACCTGGACTTGTCTCCCTCCCACCTATACCTTTAGACTTTCTATAGCTGTTCCTTCAAAGGAGGAACTTAGAACTCTATTTAAAAGGAGAATACCCTGAGTTTCACTGAGAAATAATAATGTCTGCAACTGTTTACAAAGTTGCAAACAACATGTTAAAATAAATGAAAACTGTCTGCTAGTTGATTACCTACATAAGATATTTTTGGCCCGCTATCTTAACACAGTTCATTATTTATATTCAGTAAATATATATATGATAGTTTTAATTACCTCACCACTAACTCATACCTTAAACTCTTCCTACTGGGATTTCATCCTTAAAAAGAAATACCTAAAGACCATCAATATCCTGCAGTTAACAAATCCCATAATTTTTCAAATTATTATTCTCTTTCTTTACAATTTAATTTTAATAATACCTCTGTCAACCATTTCCTCCATCTTGAAACCCTCTTTACCTTTGATTGGTTTCTTATTACATTTACAATCATTCACTCTTTCATTTCAAACACACATTTGAGGAGCCGCGATAGGGCCCCACGTGTGATGCCACATCCTTCCCTTATCCTTGCATATTCTATTTAGTTTTACTCATCACCCTCAAACCGTAAATAGGAATATTTCCCAAATTATTTTCCCCAGTTTCCTTCTTTCCGCTTCTGCACTTTTTCCCTGGGAGGATCGGCTCACCAGTGACTTCCCACCTGCACCTCTAGCACGAATCCCTTATTCCACTTGCACACACTGCAGGCATCTCACTCGGAGTCTGTCCTTTCTCCCCTTGAACCAGGTGCTGCTTCTGACCTCTTTCACTGGTCTCACACTTTTTCACTGTGCCCAAGGCTTGATCCCTAAGTATATAGTTTGTGTGTGTGTAGCATCGCTTCTAACAATTGTGAATAATTTTGATCCTGAAATATATTTTACTTCTCATTCTCCCGGCTCAGGCCTGGCTCTGTCCCCTTTCCACACACTTAGATTATTGTCACAGGCACCCAGCCTTTAGGGGAGTCTTTCTGTTCCCTCTATGATCCATCCCACACACCACCACCAGATCAGTCTTTAAAAAGCACTGCTATTCTTGTATCACTTGGCTGCTTAAAACCTTCCATGGCCCCCTATGGTTTATAGAAATAGCTCTATTTGTCTTTATATGTGGAATGTCTAAATTAATTTCTTTGCCTTTTGAGAAAACTGCTAAGCAAGTATAGGATACAAAGAAAAGAAAATTTAATGCTCGTATCTTTAATTCAAATTGTTTTTCAATAAACAATGACAATGGGCAAAACTGTCTTAGGTGGGCTCATTTTTAAAAAACTGTTACTGGAAACAAGGCAAAACAGCCCATATCAGTGTCATTCATCGTGAAAATTGTATCCACAGAGAGGAATAGGGGTTTCACAGTCTCTCTGGGGGCTTTCCAGAGATCTGTAAAGTAGGGAAGAAGTCACAAGCACAGCCTTGCAGCTCTGCTCCCTTTTGGTCCGAGACATCTTGTCCCATCTCTGCAGTTTATTTAGGCTGCTTATCTACCATTCAGTGCTTTCTGTTAGAGCATGTTTGGTAATGACAGGCCCCTCTTGTCACATTCACTATGCCACATGTAATTAAGTTCACACCTCCCTTTGGACACTTCACATCAGCAGATGACCAGCTAGATACCATCCAGCTGGAAAAACACCCAGTTTGGGATGCACTAAAGGGAATTATAGAGAAGGAAAATGGGGAACAATAATCAGAATTTGCCTATAAATGCCTTGAAGCAACATTCATATCTCCTAAATTCCTTACCGTGTCTTCTCTGAAAGAAGTTCTCTCTCACATCATGTGAGGATAGAAAAGGTCTTTGGTGAGCAATAGAAAGAAGCTGTGTCCCAGAATGCACTGTGATAAGAAGGCAGGGGCTTGAGTCGTGTACTGGTGGGGTGGAGGATGGATGGCACGTGAGAGGGTGAGTGGAACAGCTTTGTGGTTGAGATAACCTGGGTGTGAACCCCACCTTCCCTCAATTGCTAACTGTGAAACCTTGGCCATGCAACTTAATTTCCCTGAGCTTAGTTTTTTCAGAGTTAAAATGGAGCTCATCACAACTTGCAAAGAAGTAGGGAGGAATAAATGAAATCAAAAGGATGCCGAATAAACGGTAGCTGTGCTTTGTATTATAACTATATCCTGAAACACATTCTTGTCTGTTGTGTTTTTACAAGAAAAAAAAACGCATCCAGTTCACAACAGAAAATTAGGGCAGAGAGGACTTCCTCATTTATTTGAGACACTTATTTTCTTGTGGCCTCTTGTGCCTATTTTCCTTTGAGATCTTGAGGTTTCTCTAGCTTCATTTTTATAAACAGACCTTCTCTGATGCACACCAAATTCAATAGAATAATTCCTTTTGCACTTAGCTTCAGGTGGAAGGTGTAGCAAAGGGAGATTTAGTTTCCTTTTCTTTAGAGTCGAAGGCAGAAGAACCTAAAGCAGCGGCGTCTAGCTTTAATCAATTTTCTGTTTTCTCTTTCTTTCATCTAAAATGTGCAATTATCCTGGTCAGCATGACGACTAAACTATGGGAAGGAAAACCATGGGAGGCAGGTGAGTGCAAACATCTTTTAGCTTCAGCAGGCCCCTGCAGCAGCCCCCTCTGATGGAATCTTCAGCTAAAGATAATGGTGATTAGATGGGAAATAAGAGACCATGAATTATTCTCTTATTCTCTTACTCACTGCTTTTCAGCATAAAGCACCAGCCAACACTCATTCCTGTTTAAACAAAAATGTCCATGTTGGCAAAGGCCTTGAGGAATGGATGTACTAATTGCTAACCTTGACTCTGGACAAGAGAAAGAAAAAAAATTCCAAAGAGGTCTTAGAGTTTGCCAATTTTCATTTCCGTTGCTGCTGCAAAAAAAAAAAAAAAAAAAGGGCTCTGAGGGTCCATGAATATTACTTTGCATTGGGAATGAAAAAATGAATATTTGATGTGAGTAAATATAAGTCTTTAGTGATTTTCTGTTGCTCAAATATAAGGGCATGAGTAATGCTCAAGGAATTTTATTATTTTGTTAGACAGGCTAGTGTTTATGTAGGTGAAAGCATACCACTGGAGGAAAAAAATTATCTGAATCCTACAGATTAAAAATATCAGTATCTCCACCAGAAAGCATGATAAAAGAGTTTTCGGCTACTGAAGAACAGGACTGAAAATGGATGTTTTTCTGAGGATGAGAGAGGGAAAGAGAAAAGGTGTAATGTGTTGTAATGATAATGTAATTCTACATTTGTCACTAATGCTTTACATTCAGTGCTCAGGGCTGAGGAGACGATGGCTTTCCTCAGGAAAAACAATGAAAATTATATGTAAGGATCTTCATTTCAACAACCTCTTTGATTTTAAAATCTCTGTGTACTTCAGAAGCATTAATCAGTCAGGCCTCTAAAGCCCTATTTAACACATGCACTTTATATGGGAACTAAGCAAGAAATAATCATATCTAATTTGTTAAGGGCCAGACTACAAATTGAATTAGGACTTCGAAACTCCTCTTGTTATTTTCACTTAAAATACCGTCATCTTTAAGATGATGACACATTGAAAATAGAACCTTTTGATTCAATCTCGTATTAAGCAATCCTAGATCCATTTAGAAAGGCCCAGTAGGGAATTTATAGGTGATAAACATAAGAAGGCAGTTGATAACATTTTAGTTAGAGAGAGCCACCAAAAGAAGAATCTGCAGGTGAGAATGAATTGCTAGGCTGAGGTGAGGGTGATAGGTCAGGAGTTGGGGGTTGTCTAATTCTTTGTAAGCTTTAACCCTCTAATGGGAACAGGCTGGGTTTCTGAGCCAGACCATATGAAGCTGATGTCTGTGTGTCTACCTACATATCTCTCTGGACAATCTATGGATTATGTTTCTGGCCATTTTTCAGCTAATATTGCCACATGTCCACTTGGGAAGAGATCGCTGGCCTTCCACCCATACTCAAGATCTTCAAAAGTGTCTGGGGCCTCAAAGATATAGAGAAGTAAAAGCTGACCTTTTATAGGTCTAAGAAAACAAGGGTATGCCAGACGCAGGGCACTCAAGACAAAAATATGGTGGGTTTATTCTTTCTACTGTACAATTCTCCTTCCAGTCAGACATTGATAAAGTCAAGCGCACCAGAAAGAAGCATATTTACCTCATATTTTCTTTCCTGTGTACAGTCACATACATTTCGTAGACTCTCCCTTGGGGAATGGCCCCAGCAGGAATCAGCAAGCTAACTCCTGAATAGCAAAAGAGAAAAGCAGTCACATAAGACCTATGAAATCAAAGGGAAACTTCACAGAAGGCCTTTGAAACAAGTGAAAGGGAGTCAAGGAGATTGTGTGGCCACGTAGCCATTAGCCTGCTTTCTCTCTAAAGGCATGGGCAAGTTCATGGCTGCCCTGCCTCCCATCCTTATTGGCTTTATTTTACCACAGCTCCCTCTGCACTGTTATGAAATTACTTAAAAGAATGATGTACATTTTTAAACTCTTGTCTTATTTAAGGAATAGACAGATGGTTCCACTCTTGTTTTCCTTGTAAAAGAAGGGGCAAACTAACAACTGTTCTTACAATTTCCAACAGCTGTAATGATGAATTGTTTCTAATTAAAAAAAAAAAAAGGAAGAAAGAAACCCCCACAAGATTCAAAGTCAGAAAAATGCTAACCTTAACAATATCAAAAAAACATTTGTGTCTGAAATAGCTGGTTAGAATCAGTGTTTTTCCCTAACAGAACAACAATTGATGAAGAACTTCTTTTATCATGCATAACTCCAGAAAGTCAACAGTAATTGCCAGTTTCAGTCACAGCAGGGCTAGCAGGTTTTTACTTAGTTGCAAGTGAGTGCCATTTTGTAGGACTCTTGGACTGACCTGTGTTCTAAGTTAACAGTGCCTATTCCTGTGTGCCACTGGAGCTGGCATTGGAGGCATTGGGAGGACTTCCTGGATCCTAGCCCCCGAGTTTCTGACTTTAAAGTTCTAACAAAACTATAAATTTTTGTAGCTCTAACAGGTTGCCAGGTGATGCCAATGATGGTGGCCCACAGACCACCCTGTAAGAACCACTGGCCTGCACCTTTGGAATGTCATCTTAAAGAGTAATTCAGGGTAGGCAGCGACCTGAAGATACTGAGCTCCATGATTTTCTTTAATAAATGCGGTTTATTTCAACTCAATAAAACTTTATGGAGCGTCCTTGGGTGTACAGTGGGTGGCACTGTTGTGAATGCCAGCATGTAAAAGATAGTGTTGTCTTCGTATAATTTAATTAGCAAGGAAATGGAATATGCCAAACGAGTGCAAGGCAGTAAGAAAACTTTCCTGACCACACTGGAAAGTCTCAAGAATAAAGAATGGAGAGTTAAGGAGGGCTAGTTATTCAAAGGCTTTTGTAGAACTGAAAATGCTGAGTCATGGCCTTCTTGAGAAGGAAAGCAGCGTGAGAGCTGTGGGGCTGTGGGAAGTAGAAAGCCACATTAGCGTAGAGAATGGTTCGTGGAGGCACAGAGCGGGAGCAGGAACACCACACATGAGTCTACCAGGTCTCGGTCTTTTTCTTGTTTCCAATGGGAACAATAAAATGTACCTTTATGTTTGTTATGAGGATGAAGTGGAATTATAGATGTAAAGTAATAAGAATAAAGCCTGATACATATTAGGTAACAATTGTTACTCTATTAAGTAAAATAATGTATGTAAATCACCATAGCTTAGTACATAGGAAGTATTTAATACATACTGGCTCCCTCCTTTCCACTTGAGAAGCCTTTATAATAATTCATATATGAAAAAGTGACAGGTGTAGAAATGGGAAGGAAAGGTAGACTCTAGTGAATATCCTTTAAAAAAACTGTGTTAAGGGCCGGCTGAGTGGCGTGATCGTTAGGAACTGGCTTGGGACGCCAGAGGGCCCCGCTTCGGATCCCACATGTGAGGGCCAGTGACACTGCCCTCTACAAAACAAAACAAAACAAAACAAAAACTGTCTTAAGAATAATATAATGTTTAAACAATATCAATAGAATTTATTTTGATCTATTCACTTGATATACTATTGAAATATATTTAAAATAATGATTTTAAAGAGTACACAATAGCATGAGAATTAATAAGAAAAAGGTGAAAAACTGTTTTATATAATGTATGATCTCAACTATGTAAAATATGCAGAAAAAAGGAAAAATAATATTCCACTATTTCAATTTATTAAAATAGACTTGTAAAAATATGGGGCAAAAATTTTCAAGGTACTGAAATTGGGGACTGAATAAGAGAAGGGATCAAAGACAAGTTCATATTCAGACCCAAGACCAATTAGTAGTATATCAATTGGCTGTATGGCTTTTACAAAAGAATTATTTTACAAAAGAATACATTATATTCTTTTCTTATGCTACGTGAAGGCTTTAGGTCCATCAAATTGTGTCTTATTGTTGTTTTTGCAAGACACTTAGTCTTGTCCAAAAAAACTAAGGTAGATTCATAGAGGAATCCATTAACCCTCTTAAGACCCATAGTCCCAAACCCATTACTCCTATTGATTAATGACTACCAAATTTTAATCAAACACTATCAGTCATTAACTTACATTCACCATTCAAGACTTTTATGAGGCTTATTATATATAATCAGATAACTAAATAACAAGCTGAAAAAAAATAAGAATACAAAAGGACACGTGATAAAGCTATGATTCTAGAGAGATATATCAGAAGTGGGAGAGTGTACTTTATAAATACCTTGAGGTTGAAGACTGTGTAATAAAGGGTTAATAAATGAAGATTCAATGTCTATTATGACGTCCTCTGATCATCTAAAAATTAGTGTTCTAATGTACTGCTTCCTGTAATGAATTGGAACTGAACCGACTGATACGTTTTCTAATTAATTTGTCCTTTCAAAGTGAGATGATAACAGTGAGAGCTTCTGGCTTGATGTTGCCTTCTGAAGCTCTGTGAAAAAGAAGGTCAAGGACAGTGCTACATGACACCTTGGCAGAAAGTTGGGAGTATAATATTCATAGAGGAAGTGTTTTCAGAGTTGGCTGGAGGAAGATAAATGGCTTTGCTGATTTTGCCTGAAGTGATGTTGGTTTACATTGAAAGTAGATTTGGATTAGATAGGCTATATTTAACTTTTCAAGCCTAATGAAAACAAATAAAAATTTGGGTATAGAAGTATATTTTCAAGCTCTATCATTGCAATTTAAACTTTTAGGAATTACCTGAATTGGGAACAATAAGGTGACCCCCGAGAGAGTTGAAGGTGCCAAACGCAGTACAGGATGGGTCCGTCTGCCTCGCTAGACTCTGATTCTTCAGGTTGAGGGCCTCATTCTCCAACAAGGACTGGGTCATCTGAGGGGACAGCTTTGATGCAAATTCAGAGAGGTCATCCTGGGGGGTGACAGCACCTGAGGTGTTGTACACTTTGATTTTCAGGTTAGGCAGGGGGTCCAGAATTGGAGAGTTGGTCATTGGGATTTTGTCTGATACATCATGCAAGGCATAGACAGGTCCTCTGTACATGGCTGCTGCTGACGTGAGGTCTGGGGGGACTGCCAGGAGATCTGAGTCAAAAAGAGAAGGGAAGTTCACTAGCATTGTCCACTCAGGCAACTTACATCAGTCAGACCCCCCCCCCCGCCCCGTACCTTTCTGAGTCAAAGGAAAGCAACTCAGCAAACATTAGAGATGAATAGACTCTAAGGTTCTGCTGTCACCTGGGCAGTTAGATAACTAGGATCCATTTCATTATTGGCTACAAATAAATAGACAAGTTCATTCCATATTTTGCCTTGAAGTCTACTCATTGCTCCTAATGTATTTACCAATTTCAACAGATTAGATGCATAGACAGTGCTCTCCACTAAGTAGCCATAGGTAATAGTTTCCCTTCTCTATACTGGATTTGGACTTATCTATAGAGTACTGTATTTATAACAATACATTGAAGATGACTTGTCAAAGGGGAAAAAAAGGAGACTCAAGAAATCTGTCAACCAACTCATGTACTCTTTTCAAATAAAAGTTAAAAAGTATAACAGAGAAACCTGTTAGAGAAAGAAAAAAAAATCATGTACCTTGTCACTTCTCATTTGTTATGTGAATGAAGGTAATACAGTCATCATTAAAATAGACCAATTAAAATAGACCAATGTTCCTGAACTCATGGAGCCTACATTCTAGCTGAACGGGTTGATTTCACTGATTTCAAAGCCACACAGGGAGGCTGCTTACATGTGTAAGTCGCAGGGGTGAAGTGCAATGTCAACTGACCTTGCCTTGCTGCCTTGATGTTCACAGGCTGAAAGCCTCCATTGAGTGCCGAAGAGTCAATGATATCAGACTCAAAGTCACGATGGTTCTTCCGATACACAAACAGGGCCACAGTGACAGAAATGGCCAGGCAAACGATCACGGCTATCACAATGCCAACATACAGGGCGACGTCATCTGAGTCAGGAGCAGCTGGACATGTGGGAGATGGAAACATTGGATGGATGGGTTAGAGACATTTCCCACAGTACCCATATGCATTGCTATGATTTTTTTCATACATGTATTGCTTTTTGTATAGGCTAATTTCAAATCTATTTCAAAAGTTATAGAAAACAACTTTGGTCTTTTGGTGAAAAATTATCTCTGATTTCTTTTCCTTTCTCACTCTGCATTTATCCACCCACTCATCTGTCTCAAATTTGGCAGCATAACAGACCATTTATTACATGGCATCAAAAAGAAACTGGAGCTAAAACCATCCTTGACCCACATGAGCCAAAGGTTTATTACTAATTTCAGGTGGAAAGTTTGGAAGCTGGCTTTGAATTCACCGATAGTTCTTTAAAACATAAACAAACACTCTGTTAGAAATACCTGGCTTGTACTTCCGTAGCCCGCGGGGATGTATCAGTAAAAATATTGCTCCGGGTGATGTCTGCAAATTTAGACCCTATACTTTCTTCTATGAGTTTTATGGTCTCAGGTCTTATATTTAAGTCTTTAATCCATTTTGAATTTGTTCTTGTAAGTGGCGTAAGGAGGTGGTCCAGTTTCATTTTTTTGCATGTGTCAGTCCAATTTTCCCAACACCATTTATTAAATAGGCTATCCTTACCCCATTGTAACTTCTTGCTTCCCTGATGTAGAGGCCTGACCACCGCATTGTATTTCTGAAACTGATGTTGAATAATACTGTATGTCAACTATAATTATATATACATATAACCTCGGGACATGGAGTAGAGTGCGGGAACGGATTCAATGGAATTGTAATAGATAAGCATGATATCGGGGGTGGGAGCGCAGTGGATGGGGGAAGGGGGGTTGTTACTTTGTGAGGGTGAAAAGGGTAACTATTGCATTGTTCTGTACACCTGAAACTAACAATAAAAAAAAAAAAGAAAGAAATACCTGGCTTGTTCTGAATCTGTATGTTTATCGAACTAGAATATTTTCCTAAGTATCATTCCAAGTCATAAAATTACTTTCCATAAAGAAAGGGAGCAACCTTCTCATTTTCCCCTAAATCAATGAAGGGGTGGGTGGGAATGGTGGAACTAAGCAAAACAAATATTAGGAGCAAACATGTTGGAACTGAAAGGTGTGCTTTCAGAAGACTCAGGTCTGAGGAGCAGAGGTTAACGCCGGTAACGCCAGGTTTTTGATATGGACTCGGTATTACCTATGAGAACGCTGAGCTTCTCACGGTCTCTTGTCAGAGAGTCACATCTGAGCTACTCATTACCGGAATAAAATACAGCTCTACAGTGTGCTGAGTAAGATAAAGGCCTGGTTCAGTGATCAGAAAGGTCAGGTTACCCCTGAAGGCAATCAAGCATTTGACTGACACAGTGTGTGGCCAGTTGCGAGGTCTGTTCCTGGGTAGAGCAAGAAGAAAATTTCTATAAATGTTGCTTGTTGCCTTGGTGGCATAGAATATGCACTGAGCCAACTGCAAAAGGTGATAGAAGATGATAATCACAAAACAAATAAAGACAAACCTTTCCTGAATCCCCTATTCATCATCTCTGTTTTTAGTTTTCTGTGACCCACAAAAATGTTCAATAAAGTGAACTGAAAGTGCTCACCCAGTAAAAGATGATTAAATGGGTACTTCATGTGGTCAGCAGCAGTGTTTTTATGCTCCATTTTATATACATGTGCATTTTGGGGGAGATAATTCTGATTTGTAGGTCCCATGAACTCCTAATTGTTGAGGAACCACTACTGTCTCCTAAGACTCAGAGCCGTGAAGTTTATATTGTGAAAGGACTCATCATTTAGATTGTCCATGGCTCACGGGATCACCCGTATGCTTATGCCATGGTATCTCTGATACACTGACAGTACAGGAATTCTCTGTTGGAAATCACTCCATGTCTTTTAGCATTTTGTGTTTACATGTACTGTATGTGAAAGGTTTTTTTCTTTCTTTTTTTCTTTTTAAACTACTGTCTTTCCCACCGTTTCCAGAATATCTGCTTTTCCATCAATCAAGTCAACATCGACAGATCATTCAGAGAACCAGTGACATCCCAAACAGTCTTGGTTGGGTTATACCTGCTTTCAAAGTGCTAACTTCACTTTGCTGCTGGGTTTTGTCTGAGGCCCAACAGTAGCATTTGGAACTCTGGTCAGAATTTTATATTGAAACCCTTCATATTTTCCTTTACCAGGCTGGAATGACTTATTCAACATTCATGATTTCCAACTCAATAGATTTGCATTTTCTCAACGCTTTATGTTTTAGCATTTGAACCCTGCCCTTTATTTATATCCACATATTTCATGGTATGTTTTGTCAGCTACTGGGACTCAAGCTTTGAATAGTATGCTGATAGATTTTAAAGCTGGCAGAGACTTGAAATGACCCTTTCTTCTCTTCAGCGGTGAAAATCTAATTTGTTTTTCATGTTAGAATATATTAGGCACCTATTTCGTATGTGCACATCTGTGATCTAAAGAAAGGTAAACCTGAACTGGGGGCAATGACGTTAAATGATTATTCAGCAACATAAAAACCAAACATCAAACTTACAAGAAAATCCATATTCATTCTGGGTTCTCTGTTCGGTTGAAATAGGATAAATGAAACCTTGAAAAGAAACAAAAAAAATGAAACAAAAATAGGAACAAAATCAAATTAATGAGAGAAACAAAACGAGAAGCATGAAAAAAATGGTTAATTAAAAGAAAAGGAATAGAATCCTGTGTTCCTTTAAAATTCTGGTTCAGTGCAGAATTGTGATTTTGCATCTCTTGTCTGCTCTGGAGTCTCAGGGAGAATTAATAAGCAGGCAGATTGAATTTCAGAGCAAAAACTGGTCTCGAGTCACTAACTTTGGAGTGCTTAAAGTCTTCCTTTTATTGAGCATAAACTCTAATGGATCTAATTTATTTCAGACATCAAGGGTCATTAGCATAAGGAAAATCTTTTTTTCCTTATCCCTGCCATATGCTTTAATTCCCAGGACATATTCAGTAAGGCTCTAAACAGTTTTTTTTTCTTTTTTATTTAATCATAACAGCTTGCTCTTGGCCTAATAGAACGAAAGAAGACCTGTCATCATTGGTCAAAGGTTAAATACCCATTTACTGCCCTGAGCCAAGACTACCTCTCCCCACTCCATCTCAAATCCACTTTTTGGATTTTTTGTTGTTTCCTGCCCCCTCCATTTAATAGGAATCCAATAGGTTTTACCCAGGGACTGGGCAGTTTGTCAATGCAATGGAAACTGGATGCTTTTTATTTGAAATCACTCAAAAATCAATAGGGCCTAGAGGTTATAAGGTTATTTATTTTAGGTCTCTATAGGAATGGTGTAAATTGGGCAAAATAAAAACCTCATCTCAACAGTAAATGCAGAAATAACACTAGCAATTTTTTCTTTCGTTTTAGTTTATTCCAAGGTAGGACACTGAAAGTAACAATAGGAATAATTGGGAGAAACCATTTTAAAAATATGGAACACAAACTTTTTGAAATAAAAATATCTATGGATATTTTAGAAGTGTAACTTATAACTGGCACATGCTGTTTCCTAATATTTAATATGCAGCAACATAGGAGTTAATCAAATGATCCAGCACCATTTGGATTAATCAAATGACGATGAATAAGAAGCATGTGAATTAAACTTTCTTAGCGATACTCAAGGGCAAAAATGTAGAGAATCTGCAAGAATCACAATTAATTGGTTTCAAATTAAAGGTGTGGAATGCTTTAAGATTAAAGGCAACTCTAAATCGTGCCTCAGGTAGGTTTTTTGTAGTTTGCAGAACACTCAGTTCTTACAAGCTATTTACCTATTTGGGGGAACTAATTCCAGAGAAACATGCAGTCCTGCCTTAATGAAAAAGAGGTTTGCTGCAGCACAGACAGGTTTGCTCTGAATTAATCTTTAATGCTTTATTTTAGCGCAATGATTGCAACCTCCAACTCAGTTTTATAAATATTATATTCCTTATTCCAGTGGTCTGAATCCATTATCAGGTTTGATTTTCATTTTTAAACACTTCTCTCTGGTAATAACCTTTTACCATTTGTATTCCGTGAACTCAATAAAAGGACACCTGGGACAGACACAGGCACTAGAGAAAAGGTTATTTATTTTTGAAACCCGAAGACTGAAGACAATGCAAGTTCACTGCTAGGAGAGGAGACCAGATCACTGATACTGTCATTTGGGTAGGGATGATGATAAAAAGATTTATTTTTTTGCAAGTGAGAGGGCCCAGAAGTTAACGTAAAATAGTATATTTGGGGAGGGTGTGATGTTCATCATGAAAATTTTTGATGAAATCAGCGAGGGCCTGCTGAAGCACACAGAAGACCTGTGGCTCATAAAGGGGGAGAGAGGCCTGTCTCCAGAGGGACAGAACGTGGTCCGACATTTCTCCCTGGGAAGCAGCTCTGGGGTTTCCCTGACTTTTATTGTAATTCCCGACAGAATACCTGTTCTTCACAGGCAGACCAAGAAATACTAAAACTAAAAATTGTATAATTTGGTTTCAATCTCAACTTTCCCATATCTACATAGATCTAGACGACTCAAATATTTTTGTGCCTTACGGTACTTATCTGAGGACTACATTTCATTCCACACACAGAATTGAAATCCACCCATTTATTCATTTATTCATTATTTTACAAACACTCTTGAACCCTATTATATGCTGAATTCTATACTAGTCGTAGGGGTACAATGACAAAGGAGATGAGAAAAGTCCTTGTTTTAATTCTAGTTTAACAGAACATAAACAAGTAAACAAAATAACAAATAAGATCATTTCAAATGCTGAAAGTGTCCTTTCAAAAAAATAAAACAAAAGAATGTAATATGATTGGAGATAAAGGGATGGCCAACTTAGGGAATCAGGGAACAATTTTCTGTTGAAACGAAATCTGAGCTGAAGATTGAATAATGAGGAAGAATCAGGAGTGAACAATGTTCCATGAAGATGGATAGTAAAGGCAAGAGTCCCAACATAAAAACAGCGTTGGTTAGAGGGCAGTGAGTCAATGGAAAAAGGGATGCTCAGAGGGGAGGGCAGCAGCCTGATCACGCCTGGTGGTCCATGGTGAGGCATTTGGATTTTATTCTAAATGAAATGCAAATCCTGTGATCAAATGTAATTCTGAAAAGATCCCTTTGGTTTCTCTATAGATAATGGACAGCAAAGCGACAGCATTTTATGGGTGGTTTCTACAACACACAGTTTGGGAGATGTCTATCAGTAGGTGTATCAATATATTTTATGAAGCATTTGCATTTGAGGTTGTTTGAAGATAAAATAAAATAAGATAAAAAGTCTCACTAATAGTTATTCCTCCTAGCCAAATAGGACCAACCTAACCACTGTTATTTTCCTACATGGGAAAATTTAAAACAGACCAGTATTCAATATCCTCACCAGTGGTTCGACATCCTCATTTACTCTGTTACAGGAACACTGATAAAGAGTTTGAGAAGGTAACTCGGTAAAACTTTTTCCATCCTTTTCAAAACACTTCTGGAATGACAGAACTAAAAGATCACTTAGGATGCTGGGAATCAGAAAAGAAGGGGATTACTGTTCCATACCCTAAATGAAGGGAACACAGAATCACTTCCTAGAGTTTGTTTTTACACTTCTCCATCTGATCCCTCTCTCACAGAACCACAGAGGACACCTTCTTCAGCTAATGAGGTGACCCTGCTGAGAGTTGTCCTAGCAATCATGAAAAACAACATCTCTGGCAGAACATGGTGCAAAATAATTGTTTTCAGTGTCACTATCAATAGCCTGGTACATAAGTTAGGGATTTCAGTTAACTTTCCTACTACTTGAAAATAAAGCTGATTGAAAAAGCACCACAGCGATCGGCCAAAGCAGTGAAATTGAGTTTTTTAGTCACGTGGACTTCAGTTTGAATCCTAGCTCTGCCCGTCCTTAACCATGAGAGCTTAGTCAAACTATTACACTTTTCTAAGAACTAGTTTTCTATGTAAGGGGATAGGAATAATCACGTCCATATAGTTGTGGAAAGGATAAATGAGATTTGTAAGGTGTTGGTACATTGCAAGCAGTCAATAAATGACATCTCTATCAATATCATTGTGATGCACAGGATAACTACACTAAGATGCTGAGTTCTTAAGGGATTTTATTTGCAGAGTTGATGCCACCTGTCATTTAATGTAGGACCTTAGGAAATTTGTTTGAAATTCAGGTTCCCTAGGTATTATAGAGACAAGGAGCCCAGTTTTCCTTAGACACCATGAGCAATGCACTCTTCTAAGTACTGTATATTCTTTCACCCTCTCCATTTTAAGAGGTTTATTCCTGTCTTTTGTATCTTCTGGCAAAGGTATAGTGGCATGTTTCAGAAGCAAATTTCCAGCACAAGAATGCAACTTGATGCTAAACTGGTTTCTCAACCAGAACTGGTGTCACTTCGAAAGGGGGGTATTTGCAAATGGGGTAGGGGAGGTGTTCTTTGGTTGTCATAATGATTAGGGGGTTGTTGGTGGCATTTATTGAGTGAAGGCCAAGGTTACTAAATGTCCTGCCATGGGAAGAACCATCTTGCCATGGAAGAACTGTCTGGAACAAACGCGGTTCCATTGATAACTTTCAAAATTACCTCTCTTGGTCTGATGGAAGAAGCATTGGGCACTGGGATCCAGGAATGGTGCAGAACATGTCTCAGCATCTGCAATCAGAGGAAGCCAACCCAGAGCAGTGCTTCTGCTGCAGGAAATGTCTCACACCCTGACTTCTGTCATTGATTGATTGATTCATTCATTCATTTTTATGGTAATGTCAAAGAACATGTATTTTTCAATGGGGAGATTTTGCTGACCTGGGAGAATAGGGATTGGAGGAACTTTGTGGAGAGAAACTTTAAGTAAAGATGTTAACAGTTTGAAAATCAGAGCAAGAGTAGGCTGTCTTAAATAATTAGTGGAAGGCTCCTTTTGTCACAAAGCCATCTCATGATTGCTTAAAACATCATTTTAACAGGTTATCTAGTCCAACCATTTTCAGATGAGGAAACTAAGTTCCAAAGGCAAGAAGCGATATTTTAAAGTTACTAAAAATGTTGAGATTAAAATCTGGTGTCTATATCTCTTATCAGTAAAGCTGATGATATGAAAGCTTTGCATTGTCCAGCCCTGGGTCGCCCCATTCACATTGGTGTTGACTGTAGTTTTGGACTGTTAATATAACAATTTTCTGTCTGATGGTGGTACAGTGACTTGGGAAAGAATAACTTTTTCTAATTTTCACAAGGTCATCCTTTATACTCGCAGTGGAGTTGCCCATATTTTTCAGCTAATGTTCAATTGTTATAAAAAAAATGAAGCCCATGCCCAAGTATCTTAAAAAGGAAAGAGAGCTTTCCTTGGTTTTATACTGAAATAAGTAACAACACGTCATCCCTAAATACATGGCTCATAATTGCGCAGTAATATGCCTTCTTGGTAGGAAATCTCAGGAACAATGCCAGGAACCCAGTGTGAATCTTCATTTCCTCAAATAAACAACAACCACTTTGATTTTTCTAGTCTTTAAAAAAAATATTTTCCTGCCTTATAGATGATAGATAAT